CCATTTCGCCAGCGCGCCCTGCGCAGCAACGGCACTGCCCCGCCACTGCAACAATTCGCTAAGCGGCACCCTGGAAGCCTGAGGGCAATGATTAGCAAGCAAGCACATACGGCACCGCTGGAGTGCTAGTGCTAGCGCCTTGCGAGCAGCTGGACCTCCCAGTAGAACGAGCTTCGCCGACGCCGATACCCCACCATGGTAAGGCTTTCGATGGCGTGGACAACCTTTACGGAACTTTTCCAACCCACTGTCGCTCATGCCGCTGATCTCGACGCCGAAGGTCAGGGCAGGCTTGGCGGCCCCTGTCATGTAGATCCTCATTATCCGGTCGCTGGCCTATGTGGGGATCGCCCTTCGAAACATGCCAATATTGCGCATCCGTTGCCGATGACGACGAGCTCGAGCTTGGCGCCCGCCCCTCGCGCCCATCGCACTGCGACACTTGCCTCCAGAAAAGTCGGTGCCAAGAACAGAAACAGCCTTCTTTGCAGAGTGGGGCTTGACCATGAGACCCTCCGCGACCTGCTTGCTTATGTCATCCGAGCTGCTCACGATGGCAAACTTGTCATTGATGGTCGCCTTAAGGTTTGCCGCCGTGGCCCGAAAACCTCGCCCTGCTTGAATAGCCTTGCGAATGACCTCCTCCTTCGTGTCGCCTTCGACGCCGATGCAAGTATCATCGATATATGACGAGAAGGACACATTTTGGTGAATCGCAATATACGTGTCGTACTCCTCCACTGCGTGAGCTTGATTCACGGCATCTGCATAGCCGTCGCCTGCAGGGAGACCACAGGCTGCATGCTGAGGCCGCGCTCCATGAGGAGACCTGGTCCGAATAATCCTTGGCCCCTGCCACTGGTTGCACACTGACTTGACGCGTGCCTCCCAAGCGCCAAGTCGGCACAACTTGTCACGAGCCTGGTCCAACTGGATCGTCTCATCGCATTCGCTGTAGCCCGCGATGAGGGTCGACGCGTGCCTGAACTTTGACACGCATGCTTCTGCACGCTCTAAGTAAGAGCTTCCATGCGCTGTCAATTGCCGACCTGCCCGCAGCTGCACCCCAATGTTCAAGCGCTACAAACGCTTGCAGCTCATCACGTTCACCTCGTCGCGCACGGTGCCATACCCTGTAGCTTGATGACTACAGAATTAGCAGTCTGTGTCCACCCACGGCCTTTCGGCAACATCGGCGTCACCATCCACGCGGGCTGCTTGGGGCACAATCCAATCCTTTCACTTACCCCCCACAGTGCACTCAACGCGTCGAGCCCTGAATATGACAAGCGCTGGTAATGCGATGGGTGTATTCCATCCAAGCTGCCTGAAGTACGCGTCGAAAAACTTGCTGGGGCTCTCCGAATGTCAGCTGCGCTGGCTCGCGGAAGGCCGCTGCGATCAGGAACCCAAGCTTTCGGCGCCGCCGTCGTCGACTGCCAAAGCTCACTGCGAACGTTTTCAACATCTTCGACAATACGATGAGGATGGGATCGGAATTGACCCAGAGCCCCCATGATATCTGTCGGCGCTGGCACATCCTTACACGACGTGACCTCGCGCAACCTCCCAGCCACATTCTCACTTGCCCCGCCGCGCCAGTGCTTTCAACGCTGAGTGCCATGGCGATCCGCTGCTTGCCTTGCCAAGCCGATATCCCCCCGCTGACTCTTCAAGCAAGTTGGCAAGATCCTGCGCCGAGGTACTCGCCACTGAAAGTGCACGGCCAGCCTGAGCAACAACCGCATCCAATCGCTGATTTGCCCCCTGCCCAGCATACTCAGCGGCGACGAACCCATGGATCTCATCATGGAGCCTGATCGCGTCGCTTGCTGCCCGGCTTGCCTCGAGGCTCGAGATCGCCGAGAGCGCGCCCTCATACCACTTCCAGCCGTCCGCAACCGCCAGCACTCCTTCAGGGTCGCTCCCAGTAACCCATTTTGGTCGAAGACTTCCCCAATAAGAATGCGATGTGATCTTGGATCCAGTGAGATGTCCAAGTCGCTCAGCCGCCTGCATCAAACCTCACCCAGGCAATAGAAAGCACGTTCCATGCTGAACCCACGCATCCTGCGGTCGCCATGTCCACTGCGCCCTCAGCACATCTCTGCTCCAAAATCCAGTCGCGCGCGTCCGCCTGCATGGGCCCGATCAGCTTGCTCGCCTGATTCTCATCGCCGCCGACATAAGCGAGGTACATCAGCTTCTCGCCCATCGTTGTAAGATCGGCAACGACTGGCCCATGCGGCTTGATGGCCCATGTCACGTCAGCCTGGACTGCTTTCACCAGCCTCATGGCGCCCGAAGAGAGCGCCCAAAAGTGGATCACTGCACTGGCCGTCGCCGTCCTGCACGTGATGGACTTCGGCGCCAGCAGCGAGACGCGCGCATGCACCGTGAAAGAGGAAGCCTCTACTTCCGCCGCTGTCATACTCCAGTCCCCACCAATAATCGAAGGATGCTGCTGACCCGCCATAGCCAGACCAACAGTCATGAGAATCTTCGCACTCTTCAATGACATGCCCTCGCCCGTGCGAAGGTGAAGGTTGAAGATAGTCACCGGCGGCCACCCAGAAACTTCAGAAACTGCACGTTGCGCCCGGTGCGGCACCAGTTCGCTCCCAGAAGAGATGGAGTAATTCACGCATGAACGCCTCACAGCAGGGCTATCGGCAGGGTAACTTGGACCATGCAGCCCAATACCTTCACGCGCAAAGATGGCTAGTCCTGCTGATGGTAGCTCCCCTGCCGTCGGCGCCCCAGGCACCATCAGAACATTCCACTTATTGTTGCTCGCCCAAGAACTCCAGGCATCACACTCCCAGTCGTGATAACCAATCTCTTGCGCCAGCACGATGAGGGATCTGGTGCAGCCCAGCATCTTCTTCAAAGACTGCTTCCCTTGATTCGCAGTGCGCGTCTCGATGAAGTGCGACACGATAACCTCAATTGGAGTGGTTGCTCTAGCTGACGCGCTAAGTTTAGCGCGCAACCCCGTGACCACAGGTAGCCGCCGCACTGCAGCAACGGTGCTAGGAACCTCCTGTCTTTGCCGCTCCTCCGCTGTCGAGCTTGCGATGCTTCGTGCTCTGGATGTTGATGACCATCTCGGCGAGCTGCTCGGGACTGACCGGCAGCGTCCCACCTTCTTTCCAATCTTTACGCGTTGCACGGTGCAGTTCCTCGACGCCGGACTTCCCCGACAGCCGCAGGAACTCAGTAGCTCGCTTGGCGTCGACTCGAGCTCCTCCCTCTGCATTGGGGCCACTGTCGCCGTCGGCTGTGCTAGCACCTGGTTGACCACCAGGCTCGCGAGGAGGAGGAGGAGGTACAGGAGCTTTTGCATTAGCCAGCTTGGACGCCATGTTCTGTCGGCAAACTTCATGTATCTTGCTGGAGAAAGGGCTCGCCGCAACCAACTTGTAGAACTGCAGAAGGTCTGGATCTTCTTTGAAATGGGTACTCTCGGGGTCGAGGTGCAGGATGTCGGGGGGCACTTCCACGTCATTCTCAGCCGTTCCACTGAGCTTTGCCGCATGCCCTGCCAACTGCTTCGTGAGTACCCTTTTTCTCGCCCAACTCCTTTTGCACCTCATCCAACTTCTGCTGCAAGGACTGTAGGTCAGTCTTGGCTGTGCTGATCTGCTCCTTGACCCGCTCAAGCTTCTGCGTGCACTGCTTGTGGGCCATCGCAGGCGTGCGCAGCGCCTGGACCTGCATACTGGTCACCGCCAGCTGTTTTTTTTTTCTGAAGGTCTCGCACAAGCTCATCCTCGCAACCTTCCTTGTACAGCTTGATCGTCTGCTCATACTTGGCGATCTTAGCCTGCAGATCCGTGCGCTGGGCAGAGGAAGATTGACCCGCCATGTTGTCCCCTTCCTCGCCATCGTCGATCTCGATGGCATCTGCAGGCTTCTGGCCCTGCGCCTTCTTGGGCCTCTTGTTCTCAGCCAGGAGTTGCTTGCACTGGTTCTGGATTTGGGCAATTTCCTTTGCCTCCTGAGACCATGGTGCGATCGATGCTCGAAGACCTGCCCCCCCCACAGATCTGGACGGCGGGCGAGAAGTAGGCTGTCCTCCTGCACATGCATATTTGGTTTTCTTATCTTCTTTCTTCGCGCGCTGCACCACATGGAACGGCGCCGCCTTCCCGCAGCGGCAGACAGCACGGCATGCCCAATTTGCGCTCGTTCCGCAGCTGGGGCAGCCCCATGTGGGCTCGCGTGGTCCACGAAGGACTCGAACTTTGTCGTCAGCTCCAGGTTGCGGCACCATCGCCCCTGAGGAGGAGCCGTGGTGCTTGTCGAGCCTGGCTGCCGCGCTCGGCAGCAGGGCCTGGAGGCGGGGCGGGGCCTTGCCCGCCCAGGCGTGCAGCAGCGCGCGATCCGCAGCTCGGCGGAGTCGCGCTCGATGATGGCTCCCCGCCTCCCGAGGCGGCGTCGTGCCGAGCGCTGATCTCGGCGCTCGGAGGGAGGGGCCCTCGCCTGCGCTGGCAGGCACCCAGGGGGCACACCTCGCGAGCCGAAACTGAGGAGGAGGGAGGAGAAGGAGGAGGAAGAGGAGGAGGAGGAGGAGGAGGAGGAGGACGGGTCGCCGAAGCCCTTCGGAGAAGCCCTCCAACGGGGGCCCCTCACGCCGACTGGGTGCGTGCAGCGGTGCTGGCCCGCCCGCGGCGGGGCGGGGGACGGACTGCCGGAGAGAGCGGTCTCGCCTGTTGCCGCTCTGCCAGGTTGGATCGGGATGGCCATGGGGACGGAAGGGGGAGGCCGAGGGAGGGAGAGGGGGAGGAGGAGGAGGAGGGGAGGAGGAGAGGAGGAGGAGGAGGAGGAGGAGGAGGAGGGGAGGAGAGAGGAGGAGGAGAGAGGAGGAGGAGGGAGGAGGAGGAGGAGGGAGAGAGGAGGAGGAGGAGGAGGAGGAGGAGGGGAAGGGGGAGGCCGAGGGAGGGAGAGGGGGAGACGGAGGCCGAAGACGAGGACGAGGAGCAGGAGGACGGAGAGGAGGACGCTCTCGCCTTTCGACGAAGTCGCTGCGCAACCGTGATTCACTCGATTGAGTGGAGAGCTCATGGCTCGTACTATCCTGGTGGAACGCAGGATCATGCGAAAAGTCCAGTGAACACGCAACTACCAAAGCGTTGCTTCGAGACAGGTCAAATCCGCCACCGTGCCGTAGGCACTGAGTGGAGTGTCCGCATGCCCTTTCGAGCGTTCTGCACCGGCAACTGCAAGTGCTCCTCTTCAGGGGCCCAGATCCAGAATTTCGATGGCTCCTGGGCGCTCCTGGACATCTCAGGGGGGTGGGCCGATACTGTACCGAGGCCTCGGGAGCGTGAGTCGAAATTCGAGCTTCCAGGAGGCCCCAAGAGGCCGTCCTGGAGCCCTATTAGGGCCTCTTGGATCTTCTTGGGGGCCCAAGGGGGCGGCACAAGAGGCCAAAATCCTTGAACAACTGTCCTCGCCTTTGTGTGATTCTCGCATGCTCACCTTCTAGGTCTTAAGAGCGTCCAAGACGGTCTAAAAGACCCCAAGATCGCCCCGAAACGGCCACGAAGCCCAAAAGAGGGGCCCAAGAGGGGCCCAAGAGACCCCCAAAAGGGCTCCAAGAAGGGGAACTCAAAAGGGCAGTTGGGGCCCTTCATTCCACCCACCGAGATGGCCCCCGAGACCGCCTCCGGGCCCGCAAAAGGCACCCAAGAGGCCTCAGATGCGCCCAGGAGGTGCCCAGGAGGCCCCAAGGAGGCCTCCAAGAAGCCCCCACGAGGCCCCAAAGAAATCCACCCAGGCAAGCTGGCGGGATGGGACGAAGGTCACCAGAAAGGCAGATTATTGATGGATCGCCCAGTCCTCTGGAGCCTGCGTGCGAGCAAGGGTCACGCGCGAGAGTGAGGCTCCGAGCGGACTCGCGCGACGCGCTCGCAGGGGCACTGAGGCGACCGCCCGAGCAGGAGGAGGAGTTCTCGACTCAGGCTGTGGTGGAGATTACCAGGGACTTCTTGAACAGCTCGGGGCGGTAGTTCTCGAACACGCACCAGACCCGCCGCTTTTGGAGCTCGGTGAAGCCGTCCATGCACGCGTCCTCGGGGTAGTCCATGAAGTTGTGCACGGGGTCGTCCTTGCCGCAGCTCTTGGGCTGATTACACTTGTAATTCGGGAACGCCTCTGGATGCGTGTCGGCCACATTGTCTCCGTCCAGCGCGCACCCACCCTGGAAGGTGTGGTAGAGCCCCAAGGAGTGCCCGGCCTCATGGACGACAGTGTCGCCCTCGTCGTAGCCCGTGTCTAGCTTCAGGGCCTTGTTGGTGCTCGAGAAGTGGCGAAGGCCTGTCGTGGAGACGCGGACAACCAGCTCGCGCTGTCCCTCACCAGTGAGCTGGGGGAACTCCGCCATCCCCAGGATACCCGACTTGTCGTCGCCAACGAAGATGACAGTGAAGAGCCCGAAGGGGTCGTGGTTGTGCCTCGCAATGAACTTCGACTCAACGAAGGCTTGCTCAGCGCACTCCTTGTCGTGAGCAAATGTAATGCGGGCGCAGTCGTCAAATGCGCTGGGGGTGCAATTTGTCTTGAAAAGGTCAAATTCCATCTGCATGTCCGCCTCTGGTATGTCCTCGTGGTCGAAATCCATCGGCGAGTAGGTGGACCTCCCAGAGTAAGCAATGTTCATCCACCTGGCCTGGTCCAGCAGCATGTCCCTGTTGATGCCGGGGTGGAAAGGCTTGGAAGAGCAGACGATGAATTGCGTGGGCACGACAAGCTTCCTCCCCTCTGGCACTGGCGGGAGCTTCCAGGATTTGCTGCACTTGTCCTGGGGAAGAGAAGGAAGGAGGATGGAGGATAAAGAGGAGGAGGAGAAGGAAGAGGGAGGACGGAAGAAGGAGCAATGAAGGACAAAAGATACAGGAGGAAGGAGGAAGAAGGGACGGGGATGGGGAGGAGGAAGGAGGAAGAAGGGACGGGGATGGGGAGGAGGAAGGAGGAAGAAGGGACGGGGATGGGGAGGAGGAAGGAGGAAGAAAGGCGAGAGGATGAAGGAAGGAGAACGATGGGGCCGCACAAGAGGGGCCATGCTGAGGACGTTTTGGGGAGTTGTTGGGTTCCCCACGGGTCCTCCTGGGGCCTCTTGGGGCCATCTTGGAGTCACTGGGGGAATCGTGGGGGGCAATGTGGGTGTTCCTTGGAGCCATCTGGGGAGGGGGGCGTGGGGACGACCTGGGACAGTATTGGAGTCATCTCGGAGCAGTCTCGGGGCCGTCTTGGAGTCAAGATTGAAACAGCTTGGGGGCATATCGGGCTTCCTCTCTTGAGCTCACGCGGGCCTCTTGGGCCCTCCGAGAAGCTTCGGGGGTCCTCCTTGTAGTCCTATGAGTCTAAGCATTGATAGCACCGGAAAAGCTGGAGCCGTGCCTGCCAGCGTAGAGCCCGAACCGGGAGCCCGTACACTCCTGTGCTCGCACGCTGTCGGCCCTCGAGAAGGCCACAGACTGCTCCAAGACGGCACGAAAGAGAGCCTCCAAGACGGCACGAACAGTTTCGGGCCGCCACAGGATGGCTCCAGAGACCCTTCCGTGCGGCTCCCAGATCACCCCGAGGAGCCCAGGAGGTCAGAAAGGATCCCGGGGTGGCCCCAAGAGGGTCCCAAAGGGCCCGAAGAGTGCCCGAGAGGGCCCTCAGAGAGCCCAAGGGCGCCCCAAGAGGGCACACACATACCTCCAGGAGGGCCCCTCGTAAGGGGCAAGAGCTTTCCGTCGCCGTGATGGCCAACTCGACCCTGCCATCGGCCCCTCGGGCTGGCGACTTCTGTGGTCCCAACCAGCTTGCGTTTTCGTTTCCCCTTCTGGTACTTATGCCCTCCCCTGGCCACCTCTCAAAGCTTCCAAAACTGTTTGCAGTTGTTTGCTGATCTCCTCGCCGACAATATGAGGCTTCCAACGCTCCTCGTGACCTTTTCCGAGCCAGGCCCCAGATGCCCCAGGAAGGACCCAAGAGGCCCACAGCCGAGAGACCCCCCAAGCAGGCCCGAGAGAAGCCACAGCAGCTCCGAGGGGACAAACAGCCCCCAGAGGGCCCGGAGGCCCCAAAACTCGGCGAGCCAGGATCACCGCGCAGACCAGGGTTCGCCCGCTTACCCGTCTCGAGCCCCTCGGGCCATCGACTCTCGTGACCCACCCTGCCCCGAACTCGACTTCCGTTGCCGACCTGACCTGTGAGTGCCGCGGACCTTCGGCTCCGTTCGCTTTCATATCCGCCGCCCTCCTCCCTGACCCCACCGCCACCGAGCACGCGCAGTCGTTGCGCGGCGCTGCGCGCTCGCATTGCCTTGCGCACCCAAGCCCTCTGACCCTCCAAGCCAGCCCGGGCGCCCGCGCGACGACGCGCCTCGTCCACGACGCGGGCGCGTGCATACTGCCACCCCCCCCCTCGCCACGCGGCGCCCCAGGCGCGGCGCGCGCGCACCCCAACGCCACGCGCTCGCGCGAGCAAGACACAGGCTGTAGCTGCGTGCTGGCGCACCCGCGGAGAGCTCGCATCCCTGGCCCGAGCCATCACCGAAATCTCCGACCACCCCACCCACCACCAGACTCCTCTCAGCACCTCAACCGCGCCGCCAACCCAGCGGCCGACACCCTCACCTCGCACGTCCAGCACTCTACTGAGACGGCAGAGCGAATCGAAACGAACCTCAAGTCCTCAACGCAGATATCCACACATTTATGCCCGTCTGGCCCGCCCTGCAGTGGGCGGCCACAGTGGGCCGCGCACTCATCGCTGCCAATGCGTGAGAGCACCCGGGGGTCCGAGGCTCACGACGGGGCGGCGGTTAGACACAGTCTCTTCGCCAACAGCTGATTCCCCGAGTCGGGCTTTGCGCAAACGGTCCCGCTTTCGAGGCGGACGCAAGCTGTCGAAAGGGAAGAGTTGCGTCAATCCGCTCAAAATCTGCCCCTGGACCCCTCCACGGGTCCACCTTCCACCCCAGGTGGTGCGCCTGGCTGCTGCGGGTTTGCCCCAAGTTCTGTTAAACCTCTCCGTGCACCACTTACGTGCGTTCTCACAAGCGCGTCATCCACCCCAATTAACGCGCCCTTCCCTGCCCCTAGCGCGTCATCCACCCTCCGTCCTCCCGTCCGTTTTGCGGCGGCGTCAACCTGTCGTGCACCTGTCTGGCGCTTCTCATTCAGCATGTCATCCACCCTGGGAAGGAGGAGGGGGGGCGAGTTTCAATTCCCCGCCGGAAGCTTGGGAGAGGGGTCCTCACAGTAAAAACCCTTCGCGGTCACCCCCAGCGGGCGCGGCACC